GGGGGGTTCTTCGGGGTTTTTTCCCCTTTTTTCACCCCAGCCCCTACCCTTTTCCTCAAACTGTTTGTACGTTCTCTCTTTTAAGGCATACAAGAAATACAAGAACGAGCATGGACATACAGAGAAGCGTCTCCCAGGGCTATTACAGTTCAACAGCGATCAATTATTCTTCGTTAATTTTGCCCAGGTAAAACACGATTCAGTTCATACTATTATTTGGAGTCAGGTTTAGGTTTCAGCAAAATTTAATTTGGAAGAGTGACCTTTCGGAGGGGGCAGAATTCCTAGCTAGTAACGCTGAGATTTATAGCCCTTATCAAAGCAGTGTCAATGCAAGGTATATAGTTCTCACTGTTGAATCACCCAACCAACCAACCAACCGCAACCAAACAACCAACCAACCAACCAACCGCAACCAAACAACCAACCAACCAACCGCAACTGTACAACTAACCAACCAACCAATCAATCAATCAATCAGTCAATCAATACAGGGTCAATAAATAGTTGAATGAGTAGTTTAAAAAATAAAGAGATTGAATAATAAACAGAAAATACGTTTTTTATCTAACAATTAATTAACATGCATATTATCCTCATTTTTTGTCTTGTCATCTATCCAGGTGTGGTGTGGTGTCATGAGACCGGAGCAAGCCCTGGATCGCCTGAAGACTGGGGTTCACACCCCCGGGAGATTCAGGTAGATTGCAACAGATATTTCTTTCGGTCTTTCTTTTGGTTAAAAAACATGGCAATAATTCAATTAAATGAGTTTTATCAATACAACCACCACCACAAACAACAACAACAACAGCAACAACACTAATATCAACAACAACAGCAACAATAACAACAACAACAACAACAACAACAATAACAAAAACAGCAACAACAACAAAAACAATAAAAACAAAAATCATCACCTTCATCATCATCATCATCATCACCATCATCATCATCATCATCATCATCATCATCATCATCATCATCATCATCATCATCATCATCATATTATTAT